CTCTGAAGAAACAAATCTAATAAAAAGCAACAACCACCAAAGACCCACAACGATAATAAAATAATGATACCAATAATGGGTCTATAAAAATCAGTGGCAGCCTTATCTTCATTTACAAAAAAGTAAACACTCACTAGATTCAATATTTGTGAAATGACAAAAGTCAACATAACTGTCATGAGTATTCCAACTTTCTGAGAAGCTAACATTTTCAACATCTTTTCTCTATTTGGAAACATCACTATGAGAGCATACAAATTACGCAAATAGTAGAATCGAATAATTGTACTGATATAGATCAATATCCACCAAAACAAACAAAACAAACATGCACTATACCAAACGCCAACACAAGTTCTAGAAACTCCGGCAAAGGTAATCATGACAACCAAGATAAGAATCGGAGTATAGGGAATTCCAATTCTTCGTTTCATTGAAGGTTTTTTGTAAATTTTCAACCCAAAAAGTAATAAAAAGTAAATTACTATAATTACTAACTGTGGAATGAAGAAAAGATCAAGATCAGGCCTGAAATTTTCACCATAACAACCATCTGTTGAACACATGTAGCATGTGGAAGGTAGTAATTCTTGCCATGTTTCATTTATGGTAAGTTCTGTCATCTCCATATTTAGAAAGTTATTCACAAGTGTCCAATTTCCATAAATTTGTGATTTACCAGTAACATTACCAATTATTTCAACATCTTGCTGTGAAAAATTAGCATAACCTGTCAACCTTCTCAAAAACTGCGCATCAGAAATATCAGGTTTTGCATCACAGCTTGCAACATTCAAATCAAATAAGGAGGAAACTTGATTTCTTGTAGTTTGAGTGTAGACTTCGAAGGGAATGAGTGGTACAGCTACAAAGTCATCACTATTCATGAACATGCCAGATGTCATCCCAAGATCTCTGTAAAACCTGACGTAATAAGCAAAGTCATAGGGATCTAACAAAAAGGCATCATATCTCGTAAAATAATCTCTTCTTTGACACATGTCAACTTGTGGGTAAATGGAAAAATAGCTAGATGATAGTATGCTATTCGAAAGGCCATGAGAAAGCGAAAGATTAGAATATTTGAAATAATTTGAAAGAAAAGGAGTATAGTCGCGTATGGTACCGATAGTTAAACCTCTCTCCTGCAAATTTTCGACCAAATACTTTCTTCTGGAATCATTATCTTTAGCAGTAATCAGTTTCGTCAAAGTTTCGTTTGAAAATTTATGTTTCCACACAAACATTATCAGAAACGTTCTCACCCCAACCACACAATCACCATCCTTCACCTTTGACAAAAGCCCAGACGAAATTCCAGCCACTGTTGAACAAGAAATTAGTAACAGCAACATTAGTGTGAACAAACAAATGTGAAATTTAGCCATTTTTTTGTCTGACTATTGTAGTTTTCCAGAAACCATGACATAAATTTTTTCACCTCAACACCAATCTTTTTTCCATCTCATCCATGTTGATCGATTAAAATCCATCTATTCAATCTGTTTTTTGATCAATCTATCAAACAATCGATCATGATTTATCAACAATTTCAATCATATTGAATAAAGACTTGATGTTATTTGAAAAGGCTCAACCTTCAGCTAATTATCAAAAGATGTTGTTTGATTTCTTATGATGTTTCAAAATAAAGAACTTAAAACACAAAAAGTTGGTTTTCTAAGTGCTTAAAATCATGTTAGAAGCCAATCTCCTCCGATGTGGCATTTGAATATAAATTTCTTATAATCCTTTCTGAGCTCAGTGACAGAAGGTTGCTCCCAACCTTTTTCCACGAATATGTCAAGTGCTCACTCTTGATTTTAATTTGGGATGTGGATATTGCAATATTACATAAGAGTGTTGGTTCTTGATTAAATGATTGCTTACACAAGTTTGGACGTTGTTGCTCCTGAACATGTGGTTTTGTTCAAAGACCATTTTATCAAGTTTGCTTTCATTCTCACCCTTTGTCATTAATTAAGGCACTCAATACTGGAAACCTTTTTTCAAGTGTTGTATTTTATCATGTCAAGTACTTGAGAAACTCATTTGATGTAGTAGAAGATCCACATTGTAAAGAAATTAAAACATTCAAACTTAATGAATCGTTCCGATGCCATCCCAGCTTGATATGGAATTCAGTAATACCAATAAGGTGATTTTCAAGGCACTCTGTACTGACATCTAACCAAGGGTTGATTTAAAATGAAAAAAGGAGCAATTTGGAGAAGCCATTTCGAAGCTTAGTGAAATAAGTAAGGGAGAATGAAATCTGTGACTCTAAAAAAATAATTGAAAAACCAAAAAACAACTCTCAAAAAGTCAAAAAGGCAAGAAAAAAATCAAACCTGAACTGGAAGAACAAAAGAAATCATCAAAATCAAAGTCTCAAGCTCAGTTCAATGAGGATTTCGAGATATCTGATGAAAACATTGATCGATCGATCGATTGATCGATCAATTAATTGATAAAATTCTATGTTTCATCCATTCAATCGATCATTTTCCATCTCGATCAATCATCGATGGGTAAAAAAAATCCATCGAAAAATTTATGTCATGGTTTCTCGTATTATTCATTTAACCGAATGACATATTGAAAGGTAATGAGCTAGAATCATCGACGATAGTTCGCGTAGAGGAATCTCACATAAAGTAGCGGTCAATTACACGCCAAACTTCAAGTTATAGATCTATTTGGAATGTCAATTCCAAAAAACAATTTTCAGAGGTTGATTTTTGAATGCAAGGTTTGTTAAGTTTCGAACAGGATAAATTCTCACGTGTCTATCAAATGAAATGAAACTAGATGAGGAAATACTCAATGCTGCATTTCAATGTAATCAATTCCAAACTCTAAAATGCTACTTTGAAAAGATTATGAGAAGGATGTGGAGATGATATGCAAAGTATTGGCAGAAAATGGCTCTGAAATAGAAATTAATGTTTGGAGTATAATTTTTCAAGTTGGTTTTAAACTTGATAGGGATAGGTAATTTTCCAAACCAAACCTTTTTGATTCACTCCTCAAGAGTGATTGAAAAATTATCAAAGGAATATTGAGATGATTTTCTGAGTGGTTTTACACATCATCATGGATTATCGTCTTGAAATTTATTTTTCATGATGGAAAATCACAATTTGGTGTTTCATCATCGGATCATTCACCACCATCATCATTGTTTTCCATCAATAATAATAGTATTTGTGGAAATTAATTTTTAGTAATGTAATTTTGGTGAAATGTCAAAATTTTCACTAAATTCATCATCACTGCTGGATCTACTGAACAAGTTGGAAAACTGTCAATGTAGTATTGTTCGGAATGGTCAATAGTAGGTAAGAGAACTTTCTCTTATCAATTTTGGTCAAGTTACTTCACCAACTTGAATCGTGTCTTTAAGTACTACTATTTAAATAGATAATAAACATCATATTTATCAGATTTTCGTCGTGTTGTCAATTTACCAAGTTCCGATATTTCATGCTACCAGAGTAGCCCAATTACAAATCAAACAATAATAATAAAACTATTCATATGTTTATTATGTTATTGAATGTATAATTTCGAGTCTTGTCAAGCATCATGGATATCTGATATTTTCGTGTTTGTTCCAGGCAGACCAAAACCATCGTCAAAAGTCATATTTTATATGGTGTTAAAGATTTGACTCTTTCTTCCTGATTTCAATTCAGGGAGTGTCCAAAATTTGTACAACACTTTCAAACAATCATGATATCAATCCCTCCTCATATCATGAAGTGAGGAATCATATTTATATGAAGAATAACCGCAGAATAATTTGCAAGATTTCAAAAACCTAGATACACAAAAACACAATAAAATATGATTAGAGAATCAACAATGGATTATTTACATGTAACTTGTCTAGTTTACATCAACAAATATGGTGTATGTGTTGTGAAATTTAATTAAAAACAGAAAAATCAAAATCTTCATGATTTCAACGAAACAAGACGAAATAATTGATATGGTACATCTACAATAGTACTAATAAAAGTTTATTAATGTTTCAAGAAGATTGACTGTACTTTTGGCATGAATCATGATTGGGACCATGAATAGCCCGAAGTTGCCAAAAACACAAAATGATGAAAATCTGATAATAAATATATTGTTTATTATGTATTTGAATAGTAGTGATGAAAGACATTTTCCAAGTTGGTGAAGTACATGTTGAGATATGGCATGTACATGTTGAAAATATACATGTACCTATCATCATGATAAACAATAGGGAAATGTTCGGAAGTGATTTTACCTGATGGAATCGACCATGCTGAACAATACTAGATTAAAAGTTTTCCAAATTATCATATAAATCGGGCAGTGATGATGATTTTAGTGAAAATATTAAATTTCACTAAAATATTACTATTATCAGATTTATTTCCGCAAATATTACTATTATAATGATGATAAATAACAATGATGATGGTTGGTAGTAGTTCCGATGATGGTTGGTGCCAACTTGAATTTTTCCAAATAATAAAATTATTTCCAAATCATATGATGAAGAATTAAATTCCAAAAATTACTATTAATACTATTATTTAAATCATGATGAGATGATGTGGTGAAATTCTTGGAGTTAATAGATGTGAAATTACTCCAAGAATCAACAGAGTCGTGATGTACCTGATGTTGTTCCAATATTTTTGAAATATTTTTCCAAGTTCTGTTTTTGCATGGAAGAATGCTACCGAATATTACCGAATAATTTTTTAAAACGGGTTTATTTCGTTTTTAACAATGTATTTTTATTGTTTTTCTCATGATGTGGTAGTAGATATTGACTTCTCACTGAAACATCACGAATAGTATGTAATTCATCCATTCTCCACCAGATAATTATCTTTTCCTGTAATTTTCACTATTGGATATTTTTCTTTTAATATTTGTGATACTTTACTATTATATTCAACGAACAAGGGATGAGAAACATTCATTAGAAAAAGATAGATTCCCAGTGATATATTCTCTCTCTATACAATTTATTACTTCAATATCTGACAAATTAATTGAGATAGAAGGTATTTCATCAGCTCATATCAAAATAGCTGGAGTTGAACTACCTTGAAAAAGAAGTCTGGAAATTCCCACTTCAATCAAGTGTAATAAGAAAAATCTTGAATCAATAAGAGATTGGAGTAAGAGGTATCCGAGGTTCACTCAAACACTGAAGATGGATTCTTAGTTTAATTACCAACATTCAGCAACTTGTGGATTGTTGATAGCTATCAAAATTTCATTAATTCTTGTATTGGTATGCATGTTAACTTTTGAAAAAACGTATGGATCAGTGAGTTTCAAATCTTGAATGCTCTCCTTTAATTGTTCGAATTCTTTCAAAACCTGTCTCAATTCATCCTTTGATCTACACAAGTAATCTTTACAGAGAATCTTTTGGCAAACTAATCTTGCATCATTATATTTTTCAATATAAAAGTCCATTACTTCTAAACACTTATCAGCATATCCAAGAGCAATCATTCCCTGAGAAGCATAACAAAGAGAGTCAATAATAAAACTTGGATCCAAAACTGCTTCAAATCTTTCAACAGAAGAATAGGCATTGATTGACAATTCATACATGTCACAATCATAATAGCAAGCTCCCTTAATCATATAAAAATATGGTCCATTAGGTGATCTCGAATATAATTCAGCTTGTCTGACAAAATCGACCCCCTTTGCACCATAAATGTGTCTCAAATCTATTGAAACTCCAGATTCAGCAGCTCTTGCATACATGCTGGCCAATATCAAACTAATTGGTGAGAATTTGAGATCGTTAATTCTTTCAACCTGTTTTTCTGGTACTTCAATGTCAGGTGAAAAATTGGTCTTTGCAAGAGTAGGGAGTGGCAACTTTGGAGTTTTTGCAAGATAGGCCAATGCCATCTCCAAATGATGAATGGCATTTGAGTAATTATTGTGAGCAATATTGAGGTCTGGCTCTGAATCAGTGAGAATGTCCAAACGAGATGCCTTCAAATAGTGAATATAAATATTATTTGGATCAGTTTTGATACATTCATCCAAAACATCCATACTTTGCTTTCTATCACCATCATAAGCAGCAACCTTCAAAGCTTTGATAAAGTTTCCAAGATGAATTGGAATATTTGTTTCAATATCTTCGAACCAATCAAACTCGTGCTCTGTAAATGTCTTTCCCAAGTAAGAATAAGCATTCTTATCAGCATTATAATGGAAATCTGGTTCATTTTCAATTGGCTTTGCAGTAGTGTAGGCCAATTTGGCTGCTTCATAATCTGAAAAGACCATATCTGCATAATTTCGAATACCATCATTCAAAATTGGGAAATCCTTCAATCTATTAAACAAGAATAAAGCTGCAGCAATTAGATTTTCTTTTGTGGTTGGTCTCACAATATCTCTCATGTTTGGAATGAAAGCTGCATAAGAAAGTGCTGCCTCATAAGCAGCAAACAAGAAGAGTGTATCGTCAACAGGTGTAGCAACATGATAAACAGTAGGAAGGGATTGCATGATATTTTCCTCATTGAATTGAGTTCTGATTGTTTCAACTGGGAACCATTCCTGATTCACAATCTTTAACATTAACAATTCAACCTTCTTCATCAAGACATATAACTTCATACCAACATTTGATTTGAAGTATCTAACTTGCATATTAACTGGATCATTAGTTTTTGGAAAGGTTTTGTAACAAAAATTAACTAAATCACAAACTTGAACAAATAAGTGATTAGTTTCCAATAATTGAACAGGAGTAGGATGATTTCTACGATATTCAATAATATTTTCAGTTAATTTCTTAAATTTGTCCTCAAGTTCTATATAATTTTTGATCAATTCATTCTGTTCTTGTTCGGAATAAACTGTTGTCTCTGGTGCTTGTTGTTTAGCCTTTTTCAACATTTTACTTGTTGCATGATAATTTCTTCCATTTGCATTTTCCATTATTGAAAAGTTTAATTGATGATGTTTTCCAAAGACATTGATCAGTGGTACGGAATTATTCAATCCACCAATAAGAATAGAACCATTATTGAGAGATGATAATGATGATGAGGATCTTCGAGAAGCAGTAATAATCGATGATGAGAGAACCTTGTTGACAAGCGTTTTCATTTTTTTAACACTTGACGTATTGATTGATTTTGTAAAGTGTTAATAATGCCAATTCTAACAAATTTAGAGTCATTAAAGCCAATACTTAATATGATGAGTAATAGTAATGAGTTAGAAGAATTGTAAATTGTTTATTATCTATTGTAAAATAATCAATGTAATAGCAGCAATGAAAAGAGTCAACATCATTGAGAAAGTACTTGCTGGAGCACTACTGAGCTTTGAAGGTTTAGGAGTAACAGTTTTACCACTCGATGTAGCAGTAATTGTTTGTTGAGTCAACAAATAAGTACCAGTACTTGAAACAGTTGCTGTGGCAGTACCATCACTTCCAATTACAACAGTACATCCTGAAGCATCTGAAGCAGCACCACTTGAATCGACAGATTTACAGATGACTTGGGTTGCAGTGATTGATCTTGTCAAACTCTTGGTTGTACCAAATACCAAATCAGCAATTGGAGAAGAGCTAGAAACTGAAATAGTTGCAGAACTAGTTCCATCAGCAAATGAGAATGTCATGGCATTGGTGACAGCATTAGTAACAGATGTACTAGTTGTCTTGACTGTAACACTAACAGATTTGGCATTAGCAAAGGCAGTCAATGCGGCAATATTATTCTTGAACTTGATTTGATCCTTTCCTGTAGTATTTTGAGCCATAGAATTCAAAGAAGCAAGATTGACCTTACGAGAAGAAGTTGTGACACCATTGGCAGTTACAGTAGCAGCTGGTGCATCAGGAACAACATTCTTAGTCTTGATAGAAGCAACACTTGCAAAGACAGCATTCAAATTAGTAAGATCAGCAGAACTGAAAGATCTCTTTGATAATTTGGACTTGATGTAGGCAAGGAAATTATTAGCAGTTGCCAAAGTACTTGCAATAGCATCATCAGAAAGACTAACAGAAGAACTTGATGTTACAGAAGATGTAGTATTTGACAAGCTTGAAATAACTTGAGAAGTTGTTGAATCAGCAAAGAGACCCTTTGAAACTGAACCAGCAACAGAGCTTGAGAAGGAGATACTACTTTCAGCTGCTGATGAAGAAAGTGATGTAACAGCAGCACTTTGAGCTTGTTGTAATAAGAATGAATTGGCAAGTGCAGTAGAAGCTTGTTGAATGGCTGCCTTTTCAGCATCAGTTGGATTACTAACAGCACCAATAACAAACATTGCAGCACTAACACCAGACAAGGTAACAGTATTAGTACCCTTTGCCATTGAAGTTAAAGTACTTGCAACGTCGGCATTACTTGGTTGAGTAATGGTAATATTTGTTCTAGATTCAGAAGAAGCTCCCAAAGCATCATAAACAACAGCCTTAATAGTCAATGTTGAACCTGAACTTGGTGATGGAAGTTGAATGTTGGCACTTTGTTGTTGAGACTTTTCAGTGAGTGAATTCCACTTCATAGATACAGAATCATAGAAGAAGAATTGGAATGATAATGGAGTTTGTGGATCAGACCAACCATTACCACACTTGAGACTGAATGAATCACTCAAAGCAACACCACTAGTTGGATAAACTTCAAAGACACCAACTGTTGGAGGAGAGTTGACTGTAATTGTGACAGATGCAGTACCGGATTTAGCACCATCAACAACTGATAAAGAAACAACATAGGAAGAACCAGGAACAAGATTAGAGCTTGGAATGATGAGAAGAGAACTTGAAGAAACATCACCAGTAGCAGAGGTCCAAGAGAATGTTGGAGCAGACAAGGAATCCAAAGTATTATAGGTCAAATACAAGTCCTTTGTTGGATCAACAGTTGTCAAATCAACATTGGAAGTAATTGAAACTCTGACAATTAAACTCTTTGAAGTATCGAGAACTGTAATTGTCAATTTGGCACTTGAAGTTCTTGAACCCTTAGTAGCAGTGGTAGTAAAGATATAAGTACCAGCTGCGAATGAAGAACTGAATGATGAAGCAGAACCTGGATTAGAACAAGAAGTACCAGTTGAATCAATACATGTTGTTGAGAGAGTCAATGTATCTTGAGTATTACTTGGATCAGTAACAGAAATAGAGAAGGCAACTGGGTCATCCTTAGATTGAGTCATATCTGGAACACTGAATGCAACTGAAATAGGTTGAGCAACAGCACTAACTTTAACAGTTGTACTAACTGCTTGAGCACTATCAGCAGATGCAGTTACAATAAAGTAATAATCACCTTCTTGATTAATATTGGTAAAACTAGAACCAAGGACCAACAAGTTATTCTTGGTAGAAACTGATAAGGATGAAACCTTTGAAACAGATCCATCAAGTGTAAATGTATAAGTTGTAGCACCTGTACCAGTATAACAAGTTGGGAATGAAATTACTGGTGTAATGAGACTTGTAGTTCCAATGAGGAATTTAACAGAAGTACCTTCCTTAATTGAAAGAGTTGGAGCTGCTTGAGCAAT